ACGCCCTGCAGGGGAAGTGGAAGAACGCCGCCTCTACACCCCCCCCCCCCCCCCCAGCTTTGCATGTCTTATGTACAGTACAGACTTTGGCTCTTCTATTGTATATCAGCTGTATTGACTTACTGTAGAGTTCTTATCTGTAGCAAATAAATTTGTATTAAACCTTTGACTGTATCTATGTCCTGACAGGACAGTAGGAATCCCTTGCTTGCCCAGTGCAATATTTTCTTTAGGGACAAGGATTCAGGAACAAATAGTTCAGCTTTCCATTAGCCCTAAAACAGCTCTGTCCTCTGCCTGTAATATGCCACCATAGAGCTGTGCTGAGAAGGGTCTGACCTCGAACCCGTGTGCTACAGAGTGGGCTGGGGTTTGGCAGCTCTGTGCAGGAGACTGATGTATCTAGTGTAATGTCTGGAGTTCTGCAGTACCTACTGACCTGAAACTAACACACACAAAGGACTGTAGCCAATTGTGAGGGTCTGGCATGAGAGTCGGATCCAAAATAGGATGAGATAGTATTGTGCATTAATATCTTGACCTTCTGTTGATAAGTCACCATACCTTGTTGACCTTCAACTCCCTAGCAGAGCCTTGGGACCCCAGGATGTGGCTATGAGTCAAGAAGTGGAATATGGGCTGAATATAATGACTGTGTCCTGTAGTTGAGCTCAAATCTCCAAGTCAATGCTGGAAAGAATACAGCCTGCAGTGCTTACGTGAGCTTTCTTTATTAGCCTGGGCTATGATGATCTATAACAGACTCGAAAACAGGGGCTGATGGCTACTGGTTAGACAGGGTCACCACACAATGCAGGAGTGAGGCAAAAAGAGAAGGAACAGCAAGAAGCAGACAATAAATGAGAATAAATATTATAATCCTTGGTATTCTGGCAGGTCTGAGGGCTACCTTTCCCTCACTTATGCATAGATAAGACTTAAGCTAAGTCTTCCCTGATGGAAAATGAGCCCCATTTACACTACCTTTTTGTTTGATGTTGCATGATAGAAATCTCAAACCCAGTATGTCTCTGAGGCTGTCTGCAGGGATATAGGACAGATGCACAGAGAAGCTAGGTAGAGTTAAATCAGGGGCAGAGCTTAGTCTGGGACAGAGGTGTTGCATGAGGGGTCCTCCAAAGGATGGGTGTCAATGTGGATAGAGGTGTTTGAAGGAAGATGCAGGGTCTCTGAACCGTACTGTAAAGTCCTGAGACATAACGAACAGTGTTTTGCAGGTCTTCAAGCCTGCACAAGGCTGGAAGCTGCTGGGCCTGTTTAGAGGTGGAGAGAAGGCCAGTGTGCGTGCTCCTGCTCTTCAGCTTCCCCTCCCCGACCTCTCCTTTCCCTTTCACTCTGGGAGACCCCTACAAGTGACCTGTGCCTAGAGACAAGCGGGAGTGGTAGGTAGGCGTTTCTGTTGTGCTCAGCTGACAATGCTGTTTGCATGGGCTTGGGCTGTGGGCCATGCTTCCGCTGCTCTTTCCCCTCTCTGCTGCCGTCCTCAGTTCCAGATCTTGAGGAAGCTGTCCCAGGAGCCGGTGGCAACAGCCATGCCATCTGCCGTCACCCCCAGGCAGCTCACTCTGTTGTCATGGCCAGAAAGGATTCCTAGGGGGGAGGGAAGAAGAGAGGTCAGGAAAAGAAGTGGGGACTGGGAGAGATGAAGGGGTTGACCACGCTGAGGACACTCATCATAGGCTGCGTACCTACACCCCTGTGTATTGTGCTGTCTGTTCCCGCACGTGTTACATTCAGAACGTGGCTAATAAGAACAAACATGCAGAAGAACATTTGTGTGTGGCATACAGCCACCACCCATGGGACTGGCCGAAGAACAATGTTCTTGGGAAGGTCTGGCTAGCTGAATCCTCATACAACTGCTTTCACCCTGGAGTGTTGGTAGGACTAAGAAAGGATGGCGTCCTTCATAAGACTAAGAAATAGCAATGCCATTGGTGGGCTGCATTATAAATTTTCAGAGGCTAGGGGCCACATCAGAAAGAAAAATGGCACTTGGGTGTATTCTGTGTATGAGCATCACAGAGTATCCAAAAACGTTGGATGGAAAACCAGGTCCATGCCCAGCTCAGTGCCTGGCCACAGAGAGGCACTGTGGGTAGCTGGAACTGGCAGACAGCAGAGGCTAGGAGAAAGTAGGAAATACTACTGGTGCTTGTGAGCAGTTTTAGCTAGTAGGAACCTTAATGCTCTTTTCCCCCTTGAAACAATGTTGTTTAAAGTCTTGACTTCCTTAACATTAAAAACAATAGTTCTTCTACACAAAAGATAGTTGTACTACTTATGGCATGCTCCTTAAGCGTGAGGAAGCTTTGTTTGGTTCCAGTCAGTATAGGATGTGTCCCTTTTAGAAAAAATAAGGGCCTTTTCCTTGCCTTGGTAGGGACAGAAGACCTTGCAGGGAATGAAAGAGGGACCTTCCAGGAGCCACTCACCCACACGCTCTGCTTTCAGGGAGTCCCAGATGTTGCAGTTGAAGTCATCATATCCAGCAAGCAAGAGGCGCCCACTGCGGGATAAGGCGACTGATGTGATTCCGCAGATGATGCTCTCATGAGAGTACACTATGAGCTCCTGGTCTGCTCGGAGGTCAAAGAGGCGGCAGGTAGCATCATCTGAGCCGGTGCAGATGGCTTCACCGTTAGGGAAGAACTGAGGAGGGCACACACCAGATTTTAATCAGGCTGTGCCTTACAGATTTCCTCAACATCTTCACCTCCCTGCTAACCACCAGGAAGCCACGGAGGTAGGAAAACCAAGTGGGACAAGACACCGGATAGTAAAAGTTGAGTCTGCTGCAGGGTGAGACTGATGCTTCTCCTAAGACCAAGACTACTTGGATAGTTTCGGTGAAATGAAACTATGATCATTTCACATCATCATAGTAAAATGATCTTGAAGATCATTTCACTTCAAGAAAGCCAATGATCTAGGGGCTAGAGCTATTGCAAGATGTCCCAGTGCTTGAAGAAGGATTATTGTCTGTTTAACTCTAGCTATTCAGAGTTTGACAAGTGTCCACCCATTATCCCCCAGATGGGGTTTGGCATGGTTCAGAGCTACGAGAGCCTTCCTCTGTCTGATCCTCATACCCCAACCTTCTCATACATGCTCCTTTTGTGTGTCCTTGCTCTGAAGAGCAAAAAAGAGCTCCTCAGGAGCAGGTGTGGCAGAAAACCATATGGCTGGCAGGGTAGGCCTGAGACAGGTGAGAAAGGCTGTACTAATTGAAGTCAGTGGAGGGCGGTTCAAGCAGCAGACATTGCAGGAAGCTGGTGGACTCATTTGGTTAGCAGAAAGGGATTAAACTGACAAGTTTCTTGTCCTGCCACCTCTAGAGCTCTGGATTGAATCCTTGCCTCTGAGGGGGATACTTGCCCCCAAATGTCTGACCTGCCTCCTGTGAAGTTTTCATCTTCAGAAGATCTCCCTATGATCCCAAGTTACCACCTCTGCTGTCTGGAGCTAAGATG